TCTCATCTGACATCATTGCTCTCCATATTCGTACGTCGTCGGGACTCGAACCTGGATTCTTATATGACTATTTAGTGACATGACTTGTGTTTTTATTCTTAGAATCAAATTTGGATTATATTCACAAACAGTAAGTCCTATTTACCAAAGTTTACATTGTTGCCTAGGGAATTAAATTGTTTTATTAAAATATAAAAAGCGTGTTGGCTTTCACTCTTTTCTTTGTTACTGAGTACGAGCCCTTGTCACGCAACAAAACTAACTGAAAAACAGTTCAGGGTATGATTTATATTTTGTTTCTTTTTCTTAGATAGTTAATTTGGTTAAATATTAAAATGACACGCCACAATAAAATGAAATCCATCTCCTAATACCATTATATTTCAGATTCCACCACTTTCATACAACCTATCAACTCCTTCTATTGAGCAGTATTTACGCTCATTAATTCTGAGATTATTTAATGACACATGTCACTTAGTCAAACCAAATCCAATTACTAAATCTTTAATAGAAGTTAGATAACTTTTATACTTTTAAACATTTTGAATTTTCTTATAAAATAAACGTGTTTGATTTTCACATAAATCAAGTGTCCATTCCTTTATAAAATACTTCTTGCATTAAAAACTCAATTTAGTAGAATATTTTGAATTATACACAAACTATACTCACACCACATTTGTCACGCTTTCTGGTTCAACAAATATACCGAATTATTATAAATTATTTTCAAAAATACAATTCTTAAAGAACAAACTATGATGTCAGTATTATAATTTCGTCTTGAATCTACTCAAGTGCAAGTGCATATCTCCCAGGTCTACCATGTACAACATCATTGCAAGTCTTCATGTTAACATGTAGCATACTATTCATAAATACAATCCACACCTTATTAATTTCATTGTACCTTCTATATCTGAGGCATAGTTCATTGTAGAACTAAGATAGGTCTCAAATAGCCGAAGCAATGGTTTAGGTTTAAATTTATATGGCTTAGTATTCAAAATTAATGCATATATAGGGATAAGAAGCAGGAATGCACTTTTAAATCTTGTTGACCATATAAACTATTCAAAGAGCGACATTAAGAGCTGGAAAAGTCCATACATGACAAAATGCATTTCTCAGAAGGTCTTATTTTCTATAAGGCGCTATAATAAATAGGCGAGTAACAACGGTCATTTGGTTTGTACATAGAAATAGGTCACAATTAATTTTACTGTATGTTATCTACATTTGTTTCTTAGCAGCGAACTTTCCATTGTGTTCAAATGATAATAAATGAAGTTCCTATCAATGAAGTTCCTATCAACAGTTATCCTGCATTTTTTTGAGATGCTTGACTATAAACAAATCATCGTAAATTTGCGACACAAATCATCGTCAATGTCTCATTACCCACTGTACACTGTCGTTGAAATAAATATCGACAATCACACTGTTATGCTCAAATTCTAAAGACTAAACAATTAATTTTAAATCATCACCAATAATGCCCAAATCTAACTCTTGTATCAACACCAAAATGTAAGTGGAAAAATGATCTAAAATAGTCAAGTACTACATTTGTAGCTATTGAACCGGAACTAATAATTGTGATCTGATTCCACATGCAACGTTTAACAAAGTATTAGCGGATACGTTTTACTCGAAACGGGGACAGTACAATTACAATTATAAAATATCAAATAGTTTTTCCTCATCCATTAGTTAGTGCTGTTATATCAAGATATATTTTACAATTACAGTCTTCACAAAATACTTTTTAATGTCACCCAACCCCTCAGTATCCAGCAGTAGAAGAACGTGGTCTTTTTAGACTGGAAGATGACGACACCAAACCCGTTTACTATTTATTCTTGGGTAGAATGTACAGAGCAGGGCAAATCCTATTAAGCAAATCCTATTAGGCAAATTTAGCAATCACTGATCGCAAGAAAACAAAAAAGTGTTAATACCAGACATTGCCCGTCGTAAGACGTTAGTGATAAAATGAAAGTTTAAATAAAAAGTAAAAAAAATATATTTGGAACTAGCGAGTTAGAAGGAAAGTGAATATAAAATAGAAAAAGTGAAATAAAAATTGTAATTCCGCCGCGAATTTTGAACCCGCGACCTCTTGTTTGGCAGGCGTTAAACACAGAAATATATATATATATATATATATATATATATATATATATATATATATATATATATATATATATATATATATATATATATATATATATATATATACATACATAAGACAAGTTTAATTTGCAGTCCTATGGCGGAAATAAAAAAGTAAAACAGAAAATAAAAGAAAATTTGGGAGGAGCATTTTTAAATAAAGTCTGAACATAAAATACACAAAGTGAAAAAAGTGTGGATGCCCCTTGTTTTGATTTCTTGTTTGGCAATGGTTACACACATAAATTAAGACAAATGTTGGTGTGCATATGTACAATACCAAAACCAAAAACAGGTGCGAATAAAATCATAACCCTCTTTAATACACATTCTTACTTGACAATAACTAAAGGGAAATAACATATAACATATTAAATATAAATTGTAATGGAAAGACTTAGAGGTTCATCGAGGAGAAACTTTAGTGAGTGTATATTTTACGATGACGACACTCAAGATTTTTATTCCAGACTATACACATTTGATATCAGAGAATGTCGTCAGTTTGTTCTTCCGACGACGCAGACTTAACTACCAAACTTATCAAAAAACAATTGATGAAGGAGAAGAAATAAGTATACTGAATTTAGGTACAACGGATGATCTGTTTTCATAAAACATTTATTTATACATTATAAAAAAATAGCATTGGACAGGAAATATATGCAAGTAGGGATGTTTGAAACAGCAATAACAAATATTACTTTGGAAATACATAGACATTACTGAATATTTTGAATTGTATATCCATAGATATTAACTGCTCTGAGGAATCACATACAGAGAAGGTATAAAGTTAGTTTATATTTTGAGGCTGTGGAGTCATATTAAGCAAACCATATTATACTGTATATTGACCATGACATTATAATTTAGATATATACTGTCATTGGCTTGATGGAAGCCTGAAAAATATAGAAACCATTAGGAAAATGGAGACGTACGTGATTTATTATTAAATGTTTATTATTAAATGTTTATCACATATTTGGACCATCATTACGTCTATCAGAGTAACTGAGATAACAAAGACATGTTGACAAGTGAATCATTTTCCGGTAAAGAATGAGAAATATTAAGTTTATGTTGAGAAAAAGCCACATGTATTTAAAGGTTAATATTATCAAAAATAAAATGACACTGCAGATAATCAGTACAAATAAAATTGAAAGTATCGTATGTGTCATAAAAATATGACAACACAGAAGACTGTAACACGATGCACAAAGCTCGACAAATATAATGCGTGAAAAAGGCTGAATTGTTAAATTTAAAAGCTATTAACAGGGGTTAAAATTTATGTATTATATAAAGAAATATATTGAACAATCAAATCAACCGGAAACGTTCCATAAGCGTTATATTGGTTTGTTTAATGTTTTTAAATTTAGAACACACGCATTCCACGTATGCCTATACTATAATAGATCCCCCAAGCTCTCTGTTGTTGTTGTTGTTGGGCTTAACGCCATTTTTCAGTACATGATAAAATGGCGGCCAGTATTAATGGTCGAGGAAGAAACCGGGAAATCACCGGAAAGAACCACCAACCCACGAGAAGCTATTGGCAAGCTTTCTCACATATCCACATTCGCCGAATCCTAGACTCGAACCCATGCAGACAGAGGTGATATAGCAGTGATCCGTAACGGACAGCGCTCTCTGGTGTACTAGTCTGCCATATACGGTGATTCCAAGTAACACATCATTTTAAAACCTTTAGCTTCATTAAATTTTGATGGCATGGTTTCAGATCTGTACACGTGTAGCACATGTCATAAGAAAAATACTACCTTGCGTGACACTTTTGACCTACGTGAGGTAGGAAATGTTATTATGATGCATAATGGGAGGTTTTTTAGATCCAAAATAACCAGCTCATGAGGCACATATCGCAGTATTGCATTATTTAAAAACAATAAAAGGCTTTAAAAGTGCCAAGTACAATAGACAAAGGATATTGCTAATATACGGGTACACATTGAACGAGCAATGGAGATGATAAACAAATGTAAGATTGTTGCAGGGCGTTATGCCTATAAATGGCCATTCAGTGATCAAACGTTTAGACAGAAAAATCAAACAATAAATAAAACATTCGGTATTCCAGCTGATTCTTGATCATGGTCTTTAAGATCTTTAGTCAATATTTTGTTTTCGACTTCTTCTCAGGCATTTATAAAACTTAGAAATATATTTCTCATTCTTGAGTGCCAGTTCAGTGGTGTTTGTATTGGACTGATTAAATTATGCTGTGCAATATATGGCGTATATACACTTATATATTTAAATGGTTGTTTTCGACGTGGACGGTAGATATTCTCCTCTCTCTCTCTCTCTCTCTCTCTCTCTCTCTCTCTCTCTCTCTCTCTCTCTCTCTCTCTCTCTCTCTATATATATATATATATATATATATATATATATGTTGAAAATATGACAATCAAACTGCTGTGGTTATCATTATAGAATATTGGTTCCATTTAAATCAAAAGTTCTGAAATTGAACATGCACAAGACATTACTTTCACCACGAGGGAGAAAACTGTTGTCTAGCACCATATCGATTTTTCACAAGATTGATGTGGCTTTTCCTGTTTCAGTTTTGCTTGTCAATGACAAAATAACTCATTGTTTAATATCTTTCAATATATGATATAACAAATGAAAGAGACATAAAGAAATAGAATTGGATGATAGGCATAGTTACCATATATCTTTAATATATTTAAGTGATGTTAAAATGTCTTGCAGTAATTCTTGGCATAGTTGATTAAAATGAAACGTTCTCGCCTATTGTGCGCACCTAATATAACTGATAAACCGCTCCAGTGGCCTAGTGGTTAGAGCGTCAGCCTCGGATGCGGGAGGTCGTGGGTTCGATCTCCGATTGAGTCATATGAAAGACTTACAAAAATGGTACTAACAGCTGCCTCGCTTGACGCTCAACATTAAGAGGTTAGAGTTAGGACTGGTCGGCCTGGTGTCAGGATAATGTGACTGGGTGGGACAACATGCTACATATCTACGGCACGATACCCCAAGTGAAAGACGGAACTATAAACTGTCTCACTACAGACATTGTAGCGATATGACTGAAACATTGTTAAAACTAACTTCAAAATCCAAATCACACACAAATACACACACACACACACACACACACACACACACACACTCAGTTGCTACTTTATATAATAACATTTTATACAGGGACAAACCTCTTTGCACACTTGGTGAATATAGCTCAGGAATGCAGTCATGAGTTAAAATCGTTTAGTTTATGTACCATGTTACTCCAAAGTATGTTATCAAAAACAAAAAGTATTCTTTGTATATTGATTCACCTTATGTTGATGCTGCAAAAATCACAATACGTTCTGTTACTAATGGACAACTGACCTTGTATTTGGTGATACTATTTGTTATCCATTGATTGTGGATGTGTGAAGAGGCCGTTCGCTTCTACAAAGAGAAAATACCATATCTAGCTCATAATTCAAAGCAAATTACGTCTGCATTACTGAAGAGGTATTTGAACGTTTGATACAGTGCGGCTTATATTATTATTTGACTGTTATGATCGTATTAGTCACTTCTGCATTATTCTTCCATTTATGTGTCCATATTGAATATATGGATCGGCTTAACGCTGTATTGCCATTACTGCTTTTTCTGCTGTAAACCATCTGCATGTTTATATACTACTTAAGCGAAATATTTCATCATAAACCAGTAAATAACACTACATTTCTTTACGGTTTCCATGTTATACCATGTTCAGTTTAATGTATGAGATATATTTACAACTGTTAGTAAGTGCATTACTTCTCATGGTTGATAATATATGGTAAAATACACATGTGGAGACAGCCATATAGAGGTTTACAAACAAAACGTGTTCGTGTTTATTTGTTTGTCGTATATATGTTTTGCATTTGCCTTTGAAAAAGACTCATTAAGAGTCGAAAGCGCTTAGGCTAGTTAGTTACTAGTTTCGTACTGTTCGTCGTCAGTTTATTGCATCTATTTTAATTAATCCCTGACACACGTGATCCCTTGGTGGGTCCAGTACGCTTGAAAGGGTTGTTATTCGCCATATGATTTGTATTGCGAATAACAGCCCATTCAAGTGAATCCACTGGATCAGCAAGGGATCACGTGTGTCAGGGATTGATTGAGATAGTTGCAATAAACTGACGACGAACAGTGCAAAATTAGTATTAACTAGCCTGAGCGCTTTCGACTCTTAATAGGTCTTTTTCAAAAGCATATACAAAACATAAACAGAACAAACAAACATAAAAAACGTTGTGTTTGTAAAACTCTATATGGCTAGTATGTCCTTGAAGATTTTTGGTCTTCGGTAGGCTATTACAGGTTAGCTCGGAAGGATTAGCTTTAATAGGTCTGACGATTGCACGATAGGTCAGTGTTTTGCGATGATTTTACCTACTTTGGAGTTTTCTGGTTGGTAGGTCAGGATAAATGGTATCCTATCAGCCGTTCCTTTCTTTCCATATTTAAGTAGATCATGGCGGTTTGTTTGTTTCTCCCTTTGGATTGCCTCCGCCATCAGGTCCTTGTTGTAGCCTTGGTAAATTAAATGCTTAGCCAGCTCTTCAGACCTTTCTAGGAATTTTTCATCAGCGGATCAAATTCTGCATATCCTTATTGCCTGACTACCTGGAATGTTCATAATGCAGTATTTTGGATGACAGCTAGTTGGAAGGAGATACCGGTGTTTGTCGGTTGGTTTCGAATAGATGTATATTTGTAATTTGTTATCGACCAATCTGATTGTTAAATTCCAGGAAAACATGGTTTGTGTTGGAAATTTCTGCCAAGAATTTCATTGAAGGTTGGAAGTTCTTTGCCTTTGATCTGAAGTCAAGTCAACCATACTTTCTATTCCATGTTGCCACTTCACGTCTATATCATCGTTAAAGTATACCCACTGGTATGTTGTACGCTCAACCAATGCTAAGAGCTGACCTTCTTGTTTTCCCATTAAAAGTATTAGCATACAACGGGGCCATTTTAGTACCCATTGCAGTTCCATTGATTTGTAGGTATTTTTTCTGCATTAAATTCAAAGTTATTGAATTTTAAGACAAGCTCCAGGAGTTGGACTAAGAAGTGTGTGGGTTGATTGTTTACAGTTCTTGTTTCCCATGCGTCTCTACACGCCTGTAACCCTTCGTTGTGCGGTATGTTAGTGTACAAAGATGTGACATCTAAGGAAATAAGTAATGTGTCTGGCAGTAAAGGTTCACTAGCTTTGCTTTTTATGAAATAATGTCGTATCCTGAAGATATGATGGTAATTTGTGGACATGTGAAATATCAAAATTTAGATAATCCTGATCACATATAAATTCCACAACTTCTGTTACCTAATTTAAAGAAAAGACTTTAGAATGAGGCATCTAGTAGATGTGCGAATCACGGATGCGTTAAATATTGTATCTACAGACGTATTCAAAAGTATAAGCCCACATAATATGCTCCTGTTTCCATGTCTACGTAGATGCAGAGGGATGGACAGACTTAGACAAATTATTATTGTGCTACTTACAAAAAACGGACATATTCTTGAGTTCACGCAAATGTGCTGACACCGCTTGCTCTTCTGGACAAGGTAGTGTCACGAATATTGCCTCCAAACACTCAATTCATTCAAATATATGTTGGTTAAAATATTTAGAAATTTGAATGTAATATTTCACTCTGAAGTTGTTACTATGAAAGGTAAAAGTAAACGTAACGACTGGTAACAATTCTCAACACATGCGTCAGACTTACTTTATTGGGTCCATAACTTAGAGGAGTAAGAATAATTTGAATCGGCTGACAGGAATGAATTCAATTGTAAATCAATAACACTAAGGTCATTAGTTACGTTATATTTAAGGTTTCCAATATCAACCGCCGTACACTAAACATAACGTCGTGTCTTATGTCTGTGATCATTTAAACTATGTGTTATCACTACTCTGTATTATCTTTAACGCATAATGACAATTAGTATCACATTACACAATCAAACAAGTGCATGATGCAAATATCAATGTGTTATTGTCACAAACGGTCGTTAATAAGAGTTGTTGGTCTGTGTTCGGGAATGCAGAGCGGCATATGTTCAGGGTTGCAGAGGAAGGATGTTTAATTTGATCCAGCTAATTAAATATATCGATACAAACTGTCAATAATGTATTTAACACTTAACATTAAATAACTTTCTCTAAAAATGCTTTCTAAAAGGAATCTGGCAATAAATTTCATTTACCGAGTAGACCGTTATTATTAGTATCATTCGTGTTCTTGAAGTATTTACTAAAAGACAAAATGGTTAGAATAATATAAGGACAGTGTTCGATGTCAAAATTTTAATGATAGTGTCAATCCACATGAGCTATAAAGAAGCATTAGAAACACGTCCTCCGAATGTCAGATGTCATCCTAACGTAGTTGTGTATACATGGAAATTTTCTCTTAATGTAGATGACATGTACACACGTACTTGCAGATAGATAGATAGATAGATAGATAGATAGATAGATAGATAGATAGATAGATAGATAGATAGATAGATAGACAGACAGACAGACAGACAGACAGACAGACAGACAGATAGATAGATAGATAGATAGATAGATAGATAGATAGATAGATAGATAGATAGACAATGTCGATTAAAAGTCTCGTGAACCGCAAAGAATGCCCCATGTATATTATACGCTGAATTAACGAATCTGCAACTACAGTCTACAGTCCATATGTGTTGCTGTAAATTATCAATATAACTCCAATATTGTTAAGCTGTTATAGTTAACACTTAAGCATTTCTACCGTGAGTGATCATGGGCTCTGGAGCAAGAAATACCTAGGCACGTCCCACTACTTGTTCAAACAAAATTGTTCATTATAAAACTAAATATCATGTTCGGCCTGGGCCCTTTCTTACGAGCTCGTGCCCTTGGGATTTATCCCGGTTTTCCCCTCCCAGTCTTGTTGGCCCTACGTTTATGATATATTTCTTTGAGTGGAAACTTTGATACATTTTCAATATTCAATTATATCATTCGTTAACATCATCACAATCATTATCGTCATTATCACTAATGTTATTAATAACCGACATCACAGAGAACATTAACAGCAGTTATGGTGGCGTAGGTAGTGTTAGGCTAGAAACCTATGGTGAGAACATATTACTAACATGGATGAAAGCACTGTGTCATTTTGGTCTGGGAACAAATAACGGTAAGGACAGTAAACGAGACAAGCACATAATCAGCCTCTGCTATGAAAAAAGAGAAGAAATAAACTGCCAGTATATCAGATTACCTATGCAAAAACATATGCCTCACATAATATAATGATATGCATAATGGAAGAGCAACTATAAGCAAAAGCAGTACAAATCTACAGGTGAAAGATAAAGAACGGAAATATTAAAAACACATTGCAATAAGTTTTTTCTAGACAAACGAACACTTTATATATGAATGGTTCAAAGGAAAAGGTACCAGCAATTGAATTGGCATGCGCAATATGTAGGAAGTTATGAAGAAGTAAACAAACATAGTGATATACTACAAAAGTCTCAAAATATGATGATACGGTAGTAGATAGACGGGTTACCTCGCCGACTGAAGTTAATGTAGAGGAGGAGAGTATGTTGGGGACTCACAAGCCACCTTTCCTCAGCGTTTCTTCAGAAAAGATGACTTGAAAAATGCGTATATAATATTAAAATATTAAAATAAAAATACTAGACGTACTTAGAAGTCGAAAAGAATAGGAATTAATTTTAATTAAAACGAACACAGAGGAATAGTAAACTCATAACCATAACCGAGAAGAAGCGAGTTCTCCCAATTTAAACATGAATCT